CTTGCTTCCCTCCCAGCATTTCCTTATCTCTGTCTCCACAACTCTCTTGCTTTTCAAGTCACTATAGTGTTCAGTCATATGGTTTCCAACGGTTTCACACTACAGTATTTTGCTTTGCTTACACAGTTCTAATTGCTTTCTGTTGCTGTGCTAAAACATGGACCAAAAGCAACTTGGGGAAGAAAGGGTTTATTTCACCTTACAGCTTGCAGTTAATCATGGGGGGGAACTAGGATAGGAGCTCAGGGTAGGAACCTGCAGGCAAGAACTGAAGCATAGGCCACAGAGGGATGCTGCTTACTGGCTTACTCCTCTGGCCCATGCTCACTCTAGTTTCTGTTTTAAATATTTTATTTATTGTTTTTATTTTATGTGTATGAGTGTATTGCCTCCATGTATGTAAGTGCACCTATGCCGTACAATGCCCATGGAGGTCAGAAAAGGGTGTTGCATCCTCTGGAGCTGGAATTGAAGATGGTTCTTAGCTGCCATGTTTGTGCTGGGAATTGCAGGTCCTCTGCAACAGCAGCCAGTGCTCTTAACTGCTGAGTCATGTCTCCAGCACCAACCCTGCTTTCTTGTACAATTCTAGGATGCTCTTCCCAGGGATGGCATCACTCATTGTGGACTGGGCCCACCCAGCTTCTGGGTGCTGACCCTGAGGAAATACTGCCCAGAAGATTTCACCGCTATATTGCTGGTCTCTTATTAATCACAGATAATTTTCGGCTCTGGCTGATGAGCATTTATTATCCCAATAAAGCATATTTTCACACCCACAGATTTTAAATTAAACTATATCATAGAAGTAGCCCAGACAGAGTCTTTTAGGGGCTCTTAAACTTCCCCTAAAACTTCATAAGCCAGGCCTCCACTGTCCTCATTTCTTTCAACACTCCTATCTTCAAAACTCCCATACAACAACCCATTAAGCTATGAATACTAAATGGTTCGTCCAGCTCAAGGCTCCAAAATTCTTCTGCAAGCCTCCCACAAAACAAGTCAAGTCCTTCACAGCAATATCACACTCCCTGGTACCAATTTCTTTCCTAGTTTCTCTGTTGCTGTGATAAAAACACCAACCAAAATCAACTTGGGGAGGAAAGGGTTTATTACATCTTAGTCTTGCAAGTGATGGTCCATCACTGAAGGAAACCAGGGCAGGAACCTGGAGGCAGGAGCTGAAGCGCAGACCACAGAGGAATGCTGGTTGCTAACTCTCTCCTCTTGGGCTCAACCTGCTTTTTTATACAATCAAGAACCACCTGCTCAGGGATGGCACCACTCACAATGGGCTGGACCCTCCCATATCGCTCAAGGAAATGCTTCACAGACATGGCCACAGGCTAATCTGATAGAGGAAATTCCCCAGTTGAGGTTCACTCTTGCCAGGTACATCAAGTTGACATGAAAGCTTTCCAGTACAGCCAGAAGCTCACTCCCACCACAAAAGTCCTCCGGCTCCAAGAGAATATTGGAGAGCAGAAAAGAGACGGTCTATGTGTTCTTTAGATTCCAGACTCAAAGAATGTGTGAGAATTTAAAAAATGTTTCAAACTACTCACTTTCAGGGAAATTTAGTAACTGATGAGCCTTCTCTCCAGCCCCTTGTTCCATTTCTTGGCTATTGTGAATTAGCACCATAATGAACATGGGAATACAGGTACGTCTAAAACATACTGATTTCAATTACTTTTGCTATATACCCAGAAATGGTATTACTCAGTGCTACGATAATTGAATTTTTAGTTTCTGAGTTGCCTTCATTTTGTTTTCCAAAGTGACTATACAAATTTCTCATATTACCAACAGTATTCTAAGAGTTCTTTTACGGAAGATTTCCATAGGTCTACCAACACTTAAAAAGTCTTTTGGATAACGATCAACCTGAAAAGTATCAAGTGATAATTCTTTGTGTTGCAATTTGTATTTCTTTGATTATTAAAACTATCAAACATTTTTCAAATATCTGTTGGTCATTTATATATCTTGTTCTGAATCTGTGCAGGTCATTTTCCCATTTTAAATAAGGTATAGGTGTCCTTGTTATTGAGTAGCTTGAGCACTTTATATATTTTGGATATTAGCCTTCTATCTGATATATGGTTTATAAATACTTCATTCCACTGTGTGTGATGTCTAAACCCTGTCAAGTGTTTTCCTTGATGTGTGGAAGCTTTGGTTTCATGCAGTTCCACTTGTCTATTTTTTCTGGAGTTGCCTGTGATTAGGGGTCCTATCTCAGACACCACTGCCCTGAGCAGCATCATGCCGTATCCCTGTTATATTTTCACCTGGAACTTACAGTAGACATTGCAGAAACTTTTCGTTCTTCATTGTAACTTTCTTGACTTTCTTAATGTGAAAAATCAGTTGGCCATACATTTTGTGAGTTTATTTCTAGGCTCTCTACTCTGGTTTTTATGGGCCATGTGTCATGTTTCAATGCTGATTGCATGCTATTTTTATTACCATAGTTTTGTATATTTTGAAATTCAGTAGTATGATCTCTTCTTGCTCAAGATGATTTTGGCTATTCAAAGTTAGCTGTGGGCTGAATGAGTCCTCCAAAAGTTTTTGGGAATTTAATGAAAAATTCATATGTTAATGGTATTTAGGAATGGAGTTTTTAGGAATGGAGTTCAGTATTAGTTGTAGTCATAAGGGTGAGGGTGTTGTAGATGAAGGTTCTGATGTGGCTTTATAAGAAAAGACCCCAGCTGCCACACTTGTACTTCCTGTCATGTTATGCCCTCTGCCAAGTTATGGTACAGTTGGGAGGTCCTCTGCCTAATGCCTACACCAAGCTCTTTGGCTTTATAGCTTACAGAACTCTGTGAAACAAATGTTTGCATGATTTATAAATGATCAATTCATAATCATTCTATTTTAGAAGTAGAGAATGGGCTAACATGTTGTGGTTTTGGTTCCATATAAATTTTAGATTGTTTTTCTATTTCTGTGAAGCACGAATTTTTTCTTGTAAAGCACTAATGGGTTTTAGTCTACAGATATTTCATCTTCTTGCATATAATCAATTATATATTTTTTACTGATTTTATTTCTTGTTTTTGTTATGCTGGGGATTGAACCCAGGGCCTTGTTCATGCTAGACAATCTACCACTGAGCCACACCCCTTACCATTTATTTATTTATTATTTTTTGATGCTATTGTAAGACATGGATGCCTTTCTAAATTTTGTTTTCAGCAAGTACAAAGTTAGTGTATAGCAATGCTATTGAGGGTTGGTCTTTTGTTTTGTTATGAGACAGGGTCTCCTTATAGCCCTAGCTGATCTGGAACTTGCTACATAGAGGAGGCTGGCCTCAATCTTACAGAGACTGCCTGAGGCTTTATCCTGAGTTCTCGGATTAAAGGCACATGCCACCACACCTACCTAGACTTTAAAAGTTGATATCATGATAATTTGTTACTTTCTTTTAAACAGTTCTAAGATTCTTTTTGATGGAGACCATAGAACTTTATAAATGCATGTTGTTGGAATGATAGATTTCATTTCTTGCTCTCCCATTTGGATGCCTTTCATTTCCTTAACTGATCTGACTAGACTGTCTCATACTGTGTTGAACAGAGCTGCTGAAAGCAGGTGCCTCATCCTTACCTCCTTCCTGATCCTAGATGAAAGGCTGTACACTTCTCACCTTTGTTCTGATGTCAGCTTTGAGTTGGTTGCATATATGTTTTCTTCTGTTGGGGTATGTTCTGTCTATGCAAAAGTTATTGACTGCTTTTATCAGAAAAATATGTTGAATTTTGACATAGGCATTTTGTGCATCTTTTTATTTTTTATGTGTATTATGAGTGTTTTCCCTGCATGCATGTAAATGCACCCATGTTATTCAATGTCCAGAAGAAGGTGTCGGATCCCTGGGAACTGGCGTTACCATGTGGGTACTGTGAACCAAACCTGTGTCTTCTGGAAAAGCAGCCAGTGCTCTTAACCACTGAGCCATCCCTCCAGCCCCATTGCTATACTTTTGAAATGATGCTATAGATTTTGGCTTTTATACTTTCAGTGTAGTAAATCATGTCAATTGATTTGCATATGTTGAGCCATTCTTGCATCCAGAGGATAAATCCTATGTATCCTGTTAAATGATCTTTTGATGTGCTGCTGAAAACTGTGTCATTGGGGGTTTTTGTATCTGTGTCATTAGGGATCTTGGGTGTGGTTTTCTGTTCTGGGTATCATTTGGCTTTGGTTATCAGGTTAACTGAGGTTGGGGATATTTTTTCCTCTTCAGTTTGCAGAAATAGATTAAAAAATATTAGTACTATTTTTCCTTCAAATGATTGAGCCATCAAACCATATGACTTGAATTTTTGATTTTTTAAAAAAATTTATGTGTTTGAGTGTTATGCCTGCATGTATGTTAAGTGCATTGGTGCAGTGCAGTGCCCCTGGAGGTCAGAAGAGGGTATCAGATCTCCTAGAACTGGAGTTGTGGATGGCTATTAGCTGTCGTGTGGATGCTGGGATTCAAACCCAGGTCTTTTGCAAGAGCAACCAGTGCTCTTAGCCATTAATCCATCTCTCCAGCCTCTTCTTCAGAGATTTTTAATTAGTAATTCAATGCTCTTTCTCATTATTGGTCTATTTTACTATCCTACCAGGCAGGGCCTCTTGCTAACCTCAGCCTAGGACACCCAACCTCCCTGCCACTTCCCTACTATTAGATTACATAAAATAGCCAGGTAGAAACCCATTAGCTCAAAGAGCTTTCCCACTACACCTTATTTTGAAAGCCATAAATTGGAGACAGAAAATACTCTCAGCACAAGTCTGCATTTTAAATCATATCCCTGACTGAGAACACAACAGAAAATCTGAGACATAGAAAAGTAGATTCTGATTTTGAAGTGGGAGTCAATATTTATTTAACATTTACTATAGGTTTGGAACTGTATCATATATACAACATATAAGAAGTTATACACACACACACATAAGCAGTGGGTGACTTTTTTTGATAAATCTGTGGGTGAGATTCCTCATAGGTATAATGAATGTCATATATATTTTAGCTCACAATTTGAGGATATTGTCTATCATGACAGAGAAGAATATTTGGGACAGCAGGTCTGGCAGTGGTGGTAGAAGCATGAGGCAGCAGGTCACATGGTGTCCACAGTCAGGAAGCAATGGGATGAACATTGGTGTTCAGCTGACTTTCTCCCTTTCTCCCTGTTTATTCAGTCTAGAACCTGAGCCCAAGGCATGGTGCCATCTACATTCAGGGTGAGTCCTCCCTCCTCAGTTGAACCTCTCTGGAAGTACCTTCATAGACATGCCCTGATACATGCCCTGACAAGCTCCTGACACATAAGTACATCTTCTAGGTGTTTACAAATATAGTCAAGTTGGTGATGAAGACACACTAAAACAACTGAAAAAGATCAAAGGGCTCTCTTACAGATGATACTAACCCTTATCACATCATACCACCACCAATAACTTTCATTCACACTAGATTAGTCAACAATGTTTTAATATACCTCTTAAAGTTTTTCTAGATATGTATTTCATCATTTACAATAATTATTATTATTTTAGACATACATTATTTAAATCTGGAAGCTGAAAATTCTAAACATTGTTGTTCCCATAATAAAAAATGATATATAAAGAATTATGGACATAAAAACAATCCTGGAAGAAATTATTAGCTGTGTGACTGTCTCTCTTGGCTCCTAATCACATATTCCTAAGTGCTGGTTTAGGTCATGTAATGAGGACCACAGGGTTATTTGGAATCAACATTCCCTCTCATTCTTCTTTGGTGCATCTGAATCCTAAATTAAACAGGGAGCATTGTGCAAAAATTAGATATTGGATGCATGCTGGTTGGTTTTAATGGGAATCTTTTCTCACTGTTTTTTTTACTCAACTACCTGTAATAAATTCTTATGAATTTAACAATAAATCAAATGTTGGATTACTTTCTAGCACAAATCAGTATGGTCACTGGCATAGGCATGTCATCATCAAAACACTTTCTGACTGACTAATTTTCAAAAGGTTTGTGGCTGTTTCTTTAAAGTCTGACATTTTTATGGGTGAAATGACATAATCTCTAGGACTTTCTTCCATATAATGAGGGGACAGAAAGGATACAATAAATTATGAGTTCATTATTGGTAAGCTGGGTGATGGATGCACCAAGTCTCATTCAATTATACATACTATTGATATTATATATACTATGAATATTTTATCATAAAAAGTCAAGTACATTGGAGATCTTAGATGCTGCTTATTCTAAATGGTAAAAAATCGATCACCATGTTTGGGCACAAGTTTTCTCTCTAAAGAAATACCAAATATAGTTTTCAGTACTTCTTCTATTTCTTCCTCATTCAGAGCCTTAAATTCTACCAGATCTACATTGTCCTTATAATTGAATCTCCTGTAGGTGAGGGTAGAGCCCACTAAACAGTGCACCCCTTCTGAGGTCTGTAAGGAACAAAACGATTTGCTTGTAAACACAGATGCTGGCGATGTCTGAAGATAGGCATTTATCGACTCAAAATCCTCAATTGTCCGGGGTTCAAGAGTGAAGGAGTAGATTTTTCGGTATTTATTCTTCTCCAGGAGATCAGAGTTAATGAATTCTTGGTTTGGAATGTACTGCTCTCTTCTGATTTGGTCCAAGTACCAGGTTCCGTTCTCTTCTGTCAAGCGGAAGATGGCAGGCACCTGAGGCTGATCCTTCCCAGAAATTAATTCCAGAGGCTCCCACATCTGGTAAGAGCGTCCAAACCCAGCATCAACAATGTAGTTGCTGCCATTGATAGTCACTTGTACTAAAAGGTGAATCATACCACTGCTGTATTTATTGGCTGGGGTGTTAAAGACATATCCTCCCAACATTATGGTTTCAAAACCCATGGTAGTCAGAGCCCAGTACAAGAGATGATTAACCTGGAGACACCACCCACCCCGCCTTTTCCTCACAATTTGGTAAAAAATAGTCTCTAAGTCCAGATCCATGGATTCCCCACAATGGATATTAAGGTTCTCAAAGGGAATAGCTTGTATCTGGTGCTTAAGAATTTCTGTTAATGTTTTCAAGTCCGTTTTGTTCCTAGAGTTCTTATAACCAATTCTTTCAAAGTATGCTTCCATGTCCATGGTTCCCTAAGGCAAAGAAAAAAAGTCCAAAACAAATATTACTTTTGCATGTGGATTTACTAGAGTAGTTATTTATACTTAGACAAGTATTAAATAGTCTCAGAAATCCCTTGAGGCACAGTTTCTCATTTCTTTCAGTTTTTTAGTATCAGAAATTTGAAATCTAGATCAAATGGTCAGCCAAACAATAAATAACTTAGATGCAGGATGCTCTGCACGTCTCCCTATATTATTCAGTACAGATACTGAGTAAAGAGCCAGGCAAGGAGAAATAAAAGAGGGATTCCAATTAATATACATTAATAGGCTCCAGAACAGTTGCTTATTGAAGCAAGAATTGCACAATACAGTGTAAAGTTATCATGGTACATAACCCATTCAATTTCCCCTTTAGCTGAACCATATGCAGAATTCTGTATTCATAGATTCACGTATTGATTCATTTATTCAACAAATAATTTACTAAGCTTAAAGGTGTAACTTTAGTAAGCTAAAAGGTGTAATTTATTAAGCAGGGGCATCTGCTTAACATTAGGACCTGGGTATAATACTCTGTGTGCAAACACATACATACACACACACACACACACACACACACACACACACACATTGCTCCTTCTAAAGCTTACATTTTAGTGAAAGTTAAGAGTTATATATAGTGAACTGAGTAAATAAATAAAATACATAATTGGTGAGATCGTGGTATGTGCCCTTGGAAAAACAAAGCAAAGAGAACAGCAAGTACACAGTGAGAATTTCAAGGTCTACTAAGTAACTAAGTTGGTTAAAGATAGCTTCACTAGAATTTAAAGAATTTGGAGAATGAACCCTGTGGATGTGTTCCTTATGCACCACTACTGGATAGTTTATTTATTGTATTTATTCCCAGCTAATCTCACCAATTCCCTTTTATAACATTTATATAAGCACTAAGCCTCTAACACTCAGAGAGAACAAGTAGAATTAAAAAATATATGTTATTATTTTTATTTTACGTGCATGAGTGTATTGCCCACATGTGTATAAGTGCACCTGTGTCACACAATGCCTGTGGAGGTTAGAAGAGGGTGTCTGATCCCCTGGAACTGGAGTTAGGACAGTTGTTAGCCACCATGTGGGTGTTGGGAATTGAACCTGGGTCCTCTGCAAGAGCAGCCAGTGTTCTTAACTGCTGAGCCAATTCTTCAATCCAACAATGGAATTTAGTTAGATGCCCCCAACCTCTCTTTGGCTTCTTCCCTGGTATTTGTACTGAATATGTAGGGAGGAGATCAGAATGGGTGAGGTGGTTTATACATACTGGCCACTTAACTGCTGTTATATCAATATTTCGTTTATTTCATTTAATGTCCATAAGTTGTTTTCTACTGTTTGTTCCAGGTCCCTCCCTTATGTATCATTATCCTTCCATGCTTCTCCTCCTCCTCACATCCCTAGCTTCCTTTCTTCCTTTACTTATTTTTAAAACCAAAGTTTTGAGTTGGAATTTAGATTTAGAAACTGAAGATTAGTTACAATCACGTCAGCTTTTGTTAGGGGCTTCAACATCAATATTGGGTATTCTACAGCATGGTACATTGCTGACGCTGGGATTTGTGTGAAATTCTGAGTACTTGGAAAGCAGTTGGTAGGGAAAGCTGAGTGAAAGTATTGTTAGCATACATACAGGATTGCAGCACCTCTGTGCAGGGTTAGACCTTTTCCTTCACCTTGATCATCAATGTCAGAAGACCTAGAGAAGGTAGAGTGAAGATACTTGGGGAATCCATTGACAGCTCTTAAAAGTACTTTATACCTGTTCAAGCTGAAAGTAGGTTGACCACGAGCTTTAATTCAGAAGTCTTCAAGTGCTGCTTCTTCCTGTGCAAAGTTTAGAAAAGAAAGATAGTTGAAAAATTAACTATGGCATGGGCTGGAAGGATGGTGTGGTGGCTACCCTCCGTTGTCAATTTAAATGGATCTGGAATTAACTGAAATGCGAGAGACTTTTTTGATGAGATTATTTGAAGGTGGAAGACTCACCATAAATATGGGCAGAACCTTCTGAAGGAAGCGCTTATGAAAGGACACAAGAGAGGGGAGCTTTGGGCTTGTTGTCTGCTAGCTCCTCTCTTACGGGTGAGTTTATCTATCTTGTTGCTGTGACATTCCTTCTCTGATTTTAGAATCAAGTTCTTTGGATTCCAGCATTGACTGAAGACCAGCATCTTTCCAGGAATCCTCCAGGCTTTCAGCGCCAGACTGGGACCGTTGAGACATCCAGTCTCAAGGATGGAACAACTACGGATTCTCAGGCTCTCCACTGCGGCACAGCCACTGCTGGATTATTCAGACCATATCCTTTAAACCAATCTAATAAATCTCCACATACACACACACACACACACACACACACACACACACACACGAGGGGGAACTGAATATATACATATATATATATATATTCATTTTATCAGTTCTGTTTCTTTAGATCTTGACTAATACAGATGACTTAGTGGGTCAGGGTACTTGCCACCAAGCCTGACAACCCGAGTTTGCTCCCTGGAACCTACATGGTAAAAACTGCCTCCTATCAATTGTCTTCTGACCTTCATATGTGTACCGTGGCATGACCCCCCCCAACCCCAATGTAAGATAATAAATACATTACTTTTCTTGAAAACAAAAGGTGACTTTTCTGTGCCATAAATTATGAGGAATCTTTAAACACTACAAACACAGAGAGCGACTGCATAGAAAACTGGAGATCTGAGTCACAGACTAATGGTTTAGGTAGGACACTAAGAGATGACAGCACCACAACAGGTCGTACCTGGGGCTTCTGGAAATCCCTGGAGGATCTCACAAGTACAGCCAACATGCCAAATGGTTAGTCGCCATAGGAATAGCAAAGAGAGATGAACCATGTTCCATGTCCCCGGTTACCACCTAAATATATACAGCACACAGAAACTGGTGTGTGTAGTGGTCGCACCTAACCTTCACTGGGTAACAACTGTAGTTGGGGGATTAAGAACAGGAAAAATTAGTGATACTATTAATGTGGATGCCACCAGGAAAGCAGGGGACAGCTTCCATATGGAAAACATGTCATCAAAGACTTTCTCATCAGATTCAAGTTTTCTTACCTCCCTTGAAAAGATGGAGGCCAAGCCTCACCCAGGGGGACATTTCATCAGCTAAACTAGATTCAAGGATGAAATTAGTGGTAGAGACAATGCTACACACACTTGAATACAAATGGATGAAAATACACTAAAGGACTGGCATTAGGAGACGAGATATAACACACGTCAAACTGAACCAATGGAAGAAAAAACTAACAGGGGTTCTGCGTAGGCACTTGGCAGCACAGAATGCATAAAATGGACTCCAAAAGTAGTGATCCATGAAGCAATGTGGTTTATACAAATAAAGACTTGAAACTAGGAAACCAAAGCCGTAAAGAGAGATGATGTATTAGTTATGACGAACAGTTCTCCATAGATACAGCACAACAGCACGTTAGTAGAAAAAAAGCTTGATATTCATAGTAAAGGCTAATAAAAGTTAAAGCCATGCCAGTCAGTTAAGAGCTAATAGTCATACAAAGTAACCAACACCAACTGACTTAGTGTTTTTAAAAAGCAAAATTCAAAATTGGAATAGAAACTATTATATATATATATATATGATAATTTTGCAGAAACTTGAAAAATAAGATAGACAATATTCTGAGGAAACTTGATTCTACATGCATGACATTCAAATGCATTCTATTTTAATTATTGAAATCCAAAATCAAGGAGAGCTACTGGAGCATCTGGCAGAGGAAAAAAATAGTACTTCATAAGGAAGAAGTATCAATCTGGCAAACAGAATGTTCCACAGAAATATCCAAAGGTGAAATAATGGAACTATGTCTACAAAGTATTGAAGGAACATGCTATCTTTAAATATTACTCTGTTAGCATTTGGCTAAATCAGAAAAGCAGCAGACTAGGAAGACAATCTCAAACATGAAAGAGCTCGCTTGAGAAACGCAACCCCAAGTCACCCTGATGAGGTGCTTCCTCTCTATTGGCCAGTAAAGAGGTAAATCAAAAGGCAAACCAAGACATAGAGGGGGCACAGTGGAGGACTGCTGTAAGCATTGGTCCCTTTCAATACACACCAGAAAAGGCATATGTATTATGGCCTGAATAAGCTACTTCATCTCACAGAAAAATACAAATAAGTAAAAAATTAAATCTGAAGATTGAGAATTCACCAGAACTAGGAAGACCTATTTAGATCACTAAAAGGTAGGCTCACCCAATTTCTGAATAGCTTATGTGAACAGACAATTTATGGGTTAGGTGGTAACAGACCCTACTAAGCAGTTCAGTGTTCCAGTGGGGCTGTGGCTAGAAAAAACTGTCCTAAGACTTTCCCAGACAGAACAACGACTGTATGTTTGATCAGTCAACACAGAAAGCCCTCAGTAACAGGTCAATAGGCAGCTTCTGATTGGTAAAGTCTCTGGTTTTCTTTACCTGTTTATCTTGGAAACCTCAATCATTGGGGTCATCAGGACCAATGGCCACCCAATTAAGATTTTGTAACAGATGATTAGAATTTTTTTTTGTTACCATAACTAAATAACAATACATAGTAAGCAAATCAACTTAAAGAGTTTCTCCCTTATATACTGGCTCATAGTTTCAGGGATTTCAATCCATAGTCAGCTGGCTCTGTTACTGTGGGCTTGTGTTGAGCTAGAAACATGGTGGTAGGAGAGAACAGTGGAGAAAAGATGCTCACTTCATGGTGGCCAAGAAGCAGAGAAAAAGAGGAAAGGGTCCTTTAATGGTATACCTCCAATTATGTAGTTGCTCCAACTAGGCTTCCATGTTTAATAGCCCTCTCAGATCAGAGCCCTATCCATTGGTGAGGTGAGCACCTTCATGATCAAATCACTGATAAATAGTGCCATCGGCTGGGGCTCAAGCCTTCAACACATGAGCCATTTGTGGGGCCACTTCATATCCAAACCACAACAAGAAACAGATCTGTAATCTAGATAAATTATTAAAATGTGAAGCAGAAATATGTGCAATAAAATAAGGAGGGAGAGAGACCTGAAAGACTTAGATCATTGTTTCACTAAGTAAAACAATGAAAATACATTTAAGAAAATATACCAGTGAGATGGTTCAGCAAGTAAAGGCACTTGCTATGCAAGCTCACTCTCTCTCTCCCCCTCCCTCCCTCCTTTCTTTTTCTGTCTCTCGTACACACAAATAATAACAACAATAATAATCAAAGTAAAGTTTACAATACACCATGACTCATATGAAACCCATTAGACATTATCTGTCTATTTCATGAGTACAGAAGACTAAGAACACAGCCAGCTTGTGCAACCAGAGAGCACAGGGTCTTGAGGAAGATTCAGGACCAACCTGAGCTTGTGAGGATGCTGTTAAGTAAGTCACCAAGACGTAGATTTCTTTTACCATTTGAGTATTTCTATTACCATGTTATGGCATCTATATTTATATCTAAGGCTCTACACCCTAGATTCTCTTTAGAAGACTCCCCAAGGACTACTGGATCTTCCTTGCCTCTTGTTGAAGTACGTAAGTACCAAGGACAGATGTCCTGCCAGCACAGCTTTGAACCAACGGCTTGTTGGCACAAGGCCTTGAAAGCACAGCTGCTTTGCGGTAGTCTGGACAAACTTCAGAGTTATTCTACATCCATGCATAACTGCACCCCCAAGCCCCAGCACTCCCTTAGGTCACTTGTACATGTATCTCTGTCCCACCATCTGGTTTGGGGGACTCAGACTTAGGCCATCTTCAAGATCATTCTATGAAACTGTATATAAGAAAGTTAAGATTCACAGAAGAAAGCACCGTGCAGAGCATCTTCAGTATAGCATAAAGGTCTTGCTACTTTCTGCATATCAAAAGAATACTTATTTATCCAAATGACCAACATGCAATAGTTTCAGCAATTGTTGTCATTTATCCCTAAGTGACATGACTCATGAATCAAAATCGTCAGTTTTGGATATACCCCCAAAGGGCAGGTTGGTGTGCAGAACTCTTCTTTAATTCCCAGTCTTTAGGACCTCTCTATCTTTAATGCTCAACAAAAGCTTTCAATTATTTTGGCAAAGGAACTCCTTATTCTTTACCTAACTGGATTTGTGAGTAAGAGCCCAACATAGCAGAATAAGAACAGATTAATCCAGAGGTGGACTATAAGGTCAGACTTTAGAAGCAGGACAAATCAGCAAGTGACCACTACATCTGCTGCGTGGATTTCTAGCAATACTCAGAGTTACAATGAGAGCTAACAGATGCCTGGACTTCTGTCTGTACAGTTTCTTTTCCAAACCCTTTTCTTCTTTTCTCATTTATTTCTACCGCACAAAGCCAACAGCATCCAACTGTGCTGACAACCCCAAGCCTTCCCTTTGATTATTTGGATGAAAAAGGACTTGACTTGCAGGTCCGACCATATGCAAAGAGCATTAACCAGCAGTTCCCCAGTTAGAGAAAATCTGCATGGCAGCCAGGGCATCCATCAAGGCCTCAAGCAGCCTGGCACAGAGCATAGAGTATTCCTGGGAAGACAATGGTACAGAGAAATAGTGGCTGTGGGTAAAGATGGTGAAAACCACAGTTTGTCTTTGGCAGGAAGTAGTAAAAAAAAAAAAAAAACTGACAGTTAATTGTTTTGAGGGACAGGGAGGGGTCAGCTGTTCTGAGTCAGAGGTCAGAGGAAGGGCTTAGGCAAAGGCAAGAACAGTTTATGATAAAAGAGCTAAGCAGTGTTCTGTGGCTGGCATCCTGGCCAGAGCACAGTTTAGGGCAGTGGGTCCTTGGGCCCCTCACTCCTGGGACTCTGCCTAAGCAGGCACCTCGGTGCTGTGGAATTCTGCAGTCTGAATCACTAGGGTGATGTCCTAGTCTGAAGTGACAGGCAAACAGTTGATTTTCTGGTGTCATTGACACCTAAAGACGTTTCAAACTGATCTTCCTTCAGGCATGATACAACTTCCCCCATGAATTCCTCTAGACATCGCAGTTCACATCGTCGGAAAAGCATCCAAGAGGGAATCCAGTCGAGGATTTCCTAAGCTTAACCAGAACCATCAACTAATGGCACTTACTTCATTCTCACAGCAAGCCCTTTAAGTAAGCGCCATTGTTAGCTCATTTAACCTGATAAGGAAATAGTGTTAGGTGAGCTCAAGGATTTGTTGAAGTTCTCACTAATAGAATGTGGTGTGGCTGTCACTCAGTCTGAGCCAAGCATTTGTTAGAATCACCCCTATACTACAAGCAGGTGCCACCCAAACT